GGTGCAAGTTGATTTGGTTCCAATGGAATCGGCGGTCAGGAAAGCTTCCATGATGCAAACAGGTGTTTGCGACCAGCCAAGCATCGCTCAGGTGATCCCACGTTGGCCGACTTGTACCATCGTCACGCTTAGACAGCAGGGCCGCACTTTGGGGAAGTTCGGCAAAGGCGGAAAGCGGACTTGACGGCTTGATAACAAATTTTCCAATGGTGGTTCACAGGGCAGAACTTTCAAGGAGGGGATTCGTTGCACATTTTTCTTATGTTCGACTGGTTGCATAGTGAACAAACGTAATGATTGCGTTTGTCATGACCCATCGGCGGCTGCTAGCTTCTAGAGGCTAGGGTTTGCCCTTCCCTACGTGCATGGACGTCAGAGGTTGGCCGTGCTTCTCCACCTGGCGAGGTGGACGAATCCGGGGCAGTCACTTGTGCAATTGTGCGGTGGGCTCAGCAGCTCAACGGGGACTGATCCTGGGCCTGCAATAGGCGAGTGGTGGCGGCACAACAGGTGGTTCGGATGCCTTGGCTGGCAGAGGCTAGGCATGTGGCTACAGAACGGAATAACACTCATACAGCGTGGGGGAGCACTCAAATCCATATGCGCGATGCCCAGTGCAGATCCACCACTGTCACATCACGACTATGACGTGATGTCGCAAGTCACCTGTATTGTCACAAGACAAGCGTACGTACGTTCAGACACAATGTCATCACCCACATTGTCAACATTCACCACCCTGGGAACCAATCCGCCCGCGCCATGCCTAAGGTACAATACTTGTCCCCATACACTTGGCTCAGTGCTCACTCCCCTCTCTTTCCGTAATGATCCTATAGGCCAACCCCCAAGTGCTCACGTCACGATTCTGGTTGCTAATCGATAAAATTGGTATTTGACATGGTTGTATGAAAGGAAAGCGCACAAGGGCAGTTTAATTGCTTTAGAAGAAGAGTCCAAAAAGCCTGGCAAAATTACTTGTTTGCACATGAACAATTGTCAGAATTTTCAGGATTCCAGGAAGCATCATTTTCGAGATATGAAGTCGACAAGACCGGCATTCATTGAAAAGACAACCACACGCCAAGGCATATGATTTTGATGGTAGGTGGTCCGATGCATTTGGACATTGCGACTTATTTGTCAATCGTTGGTGCGCAAAAAAGGCTGTCTGAGGAATACAGTGCACCATCTCTAGATTGAGGTGAAGAATCTGATGAGGATCCTACTATAGGAAGGTGCTGTGTCGATTTTGTTAAGTTTTCGCCGGGCCGGGCTCCTTGTCCCGCCCAGGTCCACACACACACTGGACCAGTACATTACAACGACACTGTTTGTCCCAATACAACCCGAGGTACCCACAACTTGTGTGCCCAGTCGCTTTGCTAGTAGTTAAGCCAGTCCCATACATGACTCAACCTCCGAGTCAGCCCCACCACTCCTCGTTCCCACGTGCTTAACTCCCACTCTTGCCCAAATCAACCGAACATCACCCTAATAGGGAGGGCCGGGCGGGAAGCGAAACAAGATGGAGTGGGGACCGAGGGGAGAGCCTAAATAGACTCGCCCGCTCGCGCCCGCCAAAGCCCATCACTCCCAAGGGCGCCAAGAATCACTGGCCCTCCTTGAATGCGACGAACTGGCCACTGACTCAAGGCACAAGGGGACAGAAACCCCAAGGGGCCGCCAAAACAACCGTACTTAAGCAGCGCTGGTCCCATTGGTGCCAGCGCGCCCGCCCCTCGTCGCCCTGGGCGGAAACCCCTTAACAAGATAGTTAATCCCATTTATTGTCAATTTGACGTCCCTCCCCCCCCCCCCCCCCCCATCCCCTGGTGATTTTCCTGTGGGCCTGCTTAGCTTGAGCACCGTGGGTGAATATTGCGCACGATATGTGGACCAAGCATGCGCTCTCCTGTTTTGTGCGTTGTGTTATTCTCTCTCCAACAGCGCGCCAGTATGAAGGGGCGTGGGACGCCACGCGTGCGATGCCACCATCCAGAGGGCGTAGGTTTGAGGTTTAGGGGAATGCACGGGACGCCTTATACCCGTCCCGAGACCAAAAATTCCGCCTGCAATACTGGTGGAAAAGGAGCCCTCCGGGTTTTGCCTTGTTATTTTGTAACGTCATCTTAACCACCACCACCACCACCCCAGCGGCAATCCTTGTGTCGAAGCCAGAATGTCTCAGCATCATTACATAATGGTGTGGTGCCAACTTAGTATGTTCTAAAGAAAGAAAAACAGCCAAAACTGTAGCAATTTTAGTGGGCTGACAACTGAGATGCAAAATGCCATAGAAGATGATGGGGATCAGTTTTGAAGGCCGCCAATGGAGATTTTGGGGAGCCTTTTGTAAAAACTGAAAGCCAAAGGTTAGTTTGGAGACATCTCATACGTTTATTGCCATTTTGCACCAACTTTTTGGGTGTCTTCCAAGCTTATGTCGATTTTGTTGCAATTGCGTAATATCTTAATCTCACAGGTCTGGACTCCACCCCCATACTACCTCTTTAGCGTCAAATTGACGCTAATCGTAACAATTTCGACATAGTGTCTTCCCTAATAACATGAAGTCTTCCTGGGCATGGCCCCTTCAGCTGCTTTCAACAAGTCAACGCCCCTGTGAAACAATTAACTGATGGTCGCTATACCAAAACCCATGCAAAAATGCCATGGCATCCGGAGATTACTCTTGCATATCTTGTGTGCCTTCTCCAACGTTAGTCAAGAGTTGGCTCCTCGTCAACTATTTGGGGTGGTGAACAACTGAACAACTGACATTTGCTCCAATGAGCTTATCTATACCAAGGTGTTTAGATAGCGGAGTCTGGGCATTACTCAATCTTGTTAGCTATGCCAAGAGACAGGACGCAGAGCGTGATATCTTGAGGTGAAACACAGTGTGACAATACACAATTGTGTAGGCGGCAACTTCCAAGGAACTGGCAGCAAACCTCGTTGAGCGAAACTGTGACAACCTTGTCCCTGAATTTGCAAGCATTTGGTCTCGGTAGCCATATATGGCAGCACCAGCGCTGTTTCAGATGCTCGCAAACTGGGTTGCGGTAGCTGGTGTCTGCATCAAGGTTGTATAGCTCATCGGAATAAACGGTGAACAGCATGCAAAGATGATAGATTTTTGTTTAATTATTCATGAAGCACCGGTGGAAAGTGGGAAACCGACAGTGGAGGGATGGCGCTTCAAAGATGATTTCTTGTTGGATGTCTGAAGCCTCCTATCAGTCGATGAGCCGTGAGGGAAGTTGCCGGCCAGGCATCCCTCCCCAACCCAAGTGGTACTGCCTTCTTTCAAGTGAGGCATCATTTCATGATTGATGACAAAAACATTGATGGACTGATTTCTAACCGCTCATATTCTTTAGGAATTTATAGCCAGACTTAAATGAATCAAGGTGTGATCTGCTCTAGATGGCGATAGCCAGGCCAATGTTGGCATTCATTTCATCGGGCTATTATGTTGTTAAAGTTCGGCTACATCTGCTCGACTGTCGAACAATTGTCGGAAGAAAACAAAAATCAACAGAAATTGCGAGCCTCTTGTGGGCAGACGCTTACACACAACATTGGAGTGGCAGCTTGTTTGGCAGCCCAACACGGGAGCTGCCGAGACCATTGGTGGTCCCACCAAGGATGAGCGAACTTGATATGGGGCCGGTTGGGGTGTTTGGAGCCTGCGCCCCACTCTTCCGTGGATACTTCCTGATATTGCAAATCCTATTCCTGCCTGAGCAAAATTCGACTGGGGCCAGGCTACACGTTCTATGATCGCAGCTGTTCTGCAGCTTTGACGGCATTCGCAACAAATCCCTGATCCTCACGCGGGTTGGATTTCATTCACGCAAAAGAAGAAGCAGTGGCTGCAAAGCGTGCCTGACACCAGCAAAGGGATCATTGATTGGAAGCATAGGCCTCAATTGCAACTCCGAGGCTGGTTTGCGTCAGCAACTGTGCACTGTAGTTCTGATCGCGGCCTGATCGATGACTGATCGATGAAGACTGCGCAGCTTGCGTGTGAGCGGACATTCGTGTCCACGAAATGCACCAAAACGGCGGTCGCCAAGCAGCTCTAGGTCTCCACTGCTGTTTCGCTCCACCCCGCTGGTTTTCTTGACCTGATCAAATTGCCACACTGCCTACGGATTGCCTGGTTGCTCACCCTTGAAGTTTCACTACAGTCGCAGACAACACTTGCATGTGTGATGAACATCCCACACAAGATTTGGCAATGGAACGTTTACATGGCCTTGGGATCATGCAGGTTCCGGCATCCAAAATGGGCGCAACCACAATCGTGCGTCCGACGACCATCGAAGGACGCTCTAGCTTGACGCACCTCATGGAACGGACACTCAGGCTTGCAGCAGCAGCCTGCAACGCAGCACAATGCCTGCCCAAGATTCCATTACCGCGGCAGCTCATTTCCTTAATCTCCAGCCGACGCGCCTTGGCGGCCAACCCTTTCCATGGGGGGTCCCAAGGACAGTGCCGATGTGCCCCATATCGGGAAATTGGACCCAAATCGGCTCCAGCGACGCTTAGCGCCTGAACAGATGTCGCATCACCCCTCTCCAAAATGGGAGCGTTTTGTGCCCTCTGGCCAGTCTGTGATGCAATTCGACTTGGCCTCATGACGTAACCACAGCCCGTCCCTCAAGCGCTCAACAGCCTGCGACCAGGTGACACAGGGCCATCCGAGTGTGTCACCCGAAGCCAGCAGCAGCGAATCCGCCCCATTTCCCACTCAACGGCGGCCGCTCTGGTCGACTTCATAGGCATCGCACAACCAGAATTCGACGAACAGTCGACGAAGAATCGACGAAGCATCGGCGAACAACCAATGCTCCGATTCCAAGAATCTCGTGCTGCTCGATCACCGCGGCGGTGTCGACCTTTACTCCCATTCACACAGGGCGTAGCGTCTCACGCCGTGAGCAAGGTGCCGCGACCATGGCAGACAGATTCAGCCAGCATCCCTCTCAACGCCGTTTCCTGCTGCTGGAGTATCTGAAAACAATGCCGGACTGTCAGTACATGTGCGCAGTCAACGACAAAAGAATCAGCGTACTCACAACTTACAATCAATGCAAGCGAATTAAATCGAAGTGACACCCTCTCAATTCCGGCATTGGGCAACACAAAAGCAAAGCCGGGTATTTGAGATTTGGTGCGCCTGAACTTAGAGCGGAAACCGCAGATACAACGACGGTGAGCAACTGCGATACCTGCGCCCTCCATAGGTGTACGGAGCACGGCCCCTGTCCGACATGCGCCTAATGGGTGGCACGCCCGCTGCCGCTAGCTGCTCCTGCTCCGCCCGCACATTGGCAGCCAGCACCAGCTCCTTGATCTTGGACCGCTCCAAGGCTTCAAGATCCTCTTGCACAACCTGGCACGGCGACCCATTTGATTTGCATTCGCTCACACAGGTCGAATCGCTGTCCGTGCATTGGCAAGGACACGTTGTGATTTCTGTCGTATTTAGAGTTGTTGGCTTAATGCACCTGCTTCAGAAAACCATCACAAGAATCGGATAAGGACGGCAGAAGCTGGTGTACTACCTGGTGCGCCGCCAGTGACACGCTCATGGGGACTTGCAACTCCCGCGACCGGTCGTCGCGACCGCCCTTCTTCATCAGCATCTTGAAAGGCACGCTGACCTGCGGGCCCTCGTCGGCAGCGGGGCTCTCTGGGGGCGCTTGGCCAGAGGGGCTGGACAGCGACACCACGCGGCGGCCCTGGTAGTCCTGGAGGAGCGACTGTGGACAAAGGGCAGAGGAAGGCACATGCATTTTAGACCACAACGCATCGACTGTAAGGACTGCTGTATACTCCTTGAATATAACCTGCGACAAAGATAGAGCGGCGCCCTTGCACCTTGCAGGCGACGACTGGCATGTAGAAATCCAAGAACGCTTTTGTGTCCTGCATCCGTTCATTCATGTGCTCGCCACCAGTGTGGACACACAATGCTAAATGTTTGATGTTATAAGCCTCGTGACTACAAGGAATGCCGTCGCGAGGCTTTTCGGGAAATGGAACCCTCGTTGCAAAAATTGCTGGTAGCTGGTGGCGACATCAATGCCGTCGCTTCGACGGGCCCGTCAGCATTTCACAAACATTCAGATCCCAATGACAGCAGCACAACCATGTGCGAGCAGCAGAGTGCATGGGCTTCAGCCACACGTTTGATACCGGGAGGCAGCGCACAATCATTTGTGCAAGAAGCCTGGCGTCGACTGTCAACGACGGGGTACACGCCAAACAAACGATTTTTCGGTCCAGTAATGTTTCTTCGACGGCGCTTCAACAGCACAAGTGGTGCGGTCCATGCTCAACGGATTCGTGCTCGTATCATTTGGTGCAAGGTGCGACGGCTCACAATACTCTAGCAATGCACTTGGCCAAGGCAACGACACGCAACAAAGACACGGCCCCCCAAGGGAAGACACAATTTGGATTTTGGTATGCTTAGCATCAAATTGGCGTTAAGGTCGGAGCCCCCACCTCCCCTCCCCTAGCGTCAATCCTTATTTCGATGCCATTATGGCTCAGCAACATGACCTAACAATGCCATACAACTTCAAAACAGTTTTAAGGGAAAAAAACAGCCAAAATTGTAGCGATTGCGGTGATTTGAAAATGGGATGCCAAAAGCTATGATAGGCGATGAGAGCAGCCCAGTCGCCTGAAAATTGATCCATTTTAAACAATACCTGGATGATTGAAAGTTTGAGGGAGGTTTTGCAGCAAGTTATGAGCTATTTGCCGCTGATCAGCGGCGTTTTTGTACATCTTCCTGGGAAGATGCACCTGGCGGGCACCTTACTTTGACTTTAGTGCAATTACATACTCTCTCAGCGTTCAACGGCTGGACCCTCCAACCCCACCCCGCCCTCCCCTTTAACGCCAAACTGACGTTAAGGATACCACAATCAAAAGAGTGTCTTCCCTAAAACATGAGCGATGCACCGGAACATCACTGGACGATTTCCGCACACATTCACACAGTTTGAAAGCAATACCAAAACAACGTTTACGGCCACGAAGTTCCAGACGCAGCGAAGACACTGCAGTCTTCCAGCAGGCTTCCACATCAATTTCAGCCCGATTGCACCAGCAGCAGTGACGCACTGATGATTTCACACCTTGAGGTCCCTCTCGAACTCCTCGTCTGTCTCTGGCGTCGCTTTCCTCACGAATCCCACCGCCACGTCATCGTCATCCAGGCCCACGCCATCATTCTCGTCCGCTGTGTTCATGGCGTCCTCTCCACCATCCCTCTCGCCCCCTTCCTCCGACGCGCTACTGCTGGCGCTGTCGTCATCTGCATGCAAGCAGGGCGCTCAAAGGACGCAGGCGCCCATATGCTCACACAAAGGGCACCAAGACCATTGCCAGTGATGCGCCCAATACACCGCCTGGCAAGCACACGCCCAGCCGGCACAATCCACTGGCAAGGTGGTTTCAGGTCTCTTGATGAAGAGTTTGCAAAAGCATGGTAAAGGGCCCAGGTGTCCAGGTTGTGGTGGCCATGTTGCCTTCATTTCACGCAGAAAAAACAAGAAAGCGTCCATGCTTATCCGTATGTACGTAAAAGCACACACGATGAAATAAGAATCCTGCTCTCAATATTAGGATGCACCTGCAGGCATGTGCCAAGAATGCCCTTCGTGGCCAAATCCGTAGCTCGTACAACACTCCATTACGCGCACAATAACAGCAGCTTTCTTCTACACTGCAATTTGGTACAAAGCAAGAGCGGGGTTCATCAATAAATGCCACAGAGGAACAAAAGTGAGAGCCACCACAACGCCCGGCAGCAAGACACAGTTGGCTAGTTTGGTGCATCAACGGAGAACCACCAAGTGGAGATGTTAGGGGAGAAATATGGCAACCAAAACGACTATTGGTAGTTTTGTTTGTGCTTCTCATTGTCCACGCCATTTCCTTTGTGGATATGTTTCAATATCGATGCTTCTGACACAGCAATGCATCTTTCGGGGGCCTACCCTCAGTAACAGCCTCTTGTGCTTCAATATCTTCCACAGCTTTCTGAGCCTCCTCAAAAGTCTGAAATCTGCGCTTCCAGACAGCACAAATGCATGCTGGTATTCAAAAAGGCAGTCGCCGTTCCCTTGGTCTGCAAGCTTATTCCATGGCATGACAAGGCAGCAAAGCAAAAGCTGCTTGTTCCAACAACATCATAACATCACTGGCACACAAACGGGGTCAATTCATCAAACAGACGACGCAAGGCATTCACTTCATTACCGAAATGACAAAAACCCAATGTTAAAGCACTGGAGTCCCTGAGCAACGCACAATGCGGCGGCACAAGCACAAGCTAGCGCTGCTGGAAAATAACGACAAAAAAATACGATAACCCGATAGGGTCCTAGTATCATGCCAAACGCAAAACTGGTGAAAATTTTTGGCAAATCGACAACGACAGGGATCGTACTGCAATATGGAGACAAAACTATCTCTGTTTGGAGACCCACCTTTTCAAATCTGATCGCAGCCTCTCCAGCAGGTCTGTAATGTCATACTCTACGTCCAGTGACAGTGGCGGCTTGCTAAGGATGTATCGCTGGAAGAACGACAGGAAGCGGTCGAGCTTGCGCTTGGCAGTGCCCTTACTGAAGTATCGGCCACAGGTGTCGAGCAGGGTGCAGATCTGCGCGTGCGGACATTTCAAAACTTGGCAGTGCAGAACTGCCAAGAACAAGATGTGGTTGCTGAAACTATTCCAGGACAAAAGGCGCATTAGGTGGGGGCAGAAATATGCACTTGCAATGCACGGCAATGGATTGACATGCGCGTGAAACGATTGTATTTTCAAGTGCTTGCTGATTATCTCATGGATTCCATCTCTCAAAACTGTCGACACCCTCGCTTTGCCTTGCCAAGCCCCAACAACAGGTAGCTTGAAGACTTGGAATAACATCCTGGGTATGAAGTACTCTCCCCCTAAAGGTGCGAGCTGTTTCAGAGATATGGATGTGATATGGATGTGCAGGAGCATGTTGTCAATTGATAGCAACCCGTATGGGCACTACACAACATCAATGCTGGCCTCACACAGGTGATGAGAATTGCAGCTTGTGGACAAGTTCCTATCATGGAACAGCGACACAGCATTGTCCATGTTGAGCTTCCATTGCATTGCGGTTGGCAATTACACAAATAACACTGTCTCGTTGATGTCAACGTATCTGAACTCTTGCCTGCTTGACCTTGCACGTTTACAAGTTTGCAAAGTGCCCGCAGTCTGCAGGCCTCCATTCCATGCGAAGATGTACAATTGCATATCTTCCAATAGGGCAGAGGCGTCGCCTGATCTCTACAGTCAACCAATGTTTAACAAGGAACAATGGGGACTTAGTTGCACACAGCTGGCGCAGACCCACCATTCGAATCCTGAAAGTGTCCCCTGGCGGATCAAGCCTCATGGCATCCTCCGGTGTGTCGTGCCCAAAGTTGAGGATCCAGTACAGTGACTCAAACAGTGTGCGGGAGTCCAGCAGCCTGTAGTTGTACAGCTCGCCCAGCAGCCTCACATGGGCCACCCGCCTCTGGTACAGCCCAAAGCTGGGGTACTCCAGGCCGTTCTGCATTTCTTCCAGCACCTCATCCACGATGCGTATGGCCAGCGTGTCGTGGTACTTCGTAAGGCCGGCACACAGAGAGGCAACCAGTGAAACATGGGAGAACCGGCGGCCAGCAGCCTTCACCAGACAGCGCACAATGATGTACTCATATTCAGCCCAGGGCACACGTCGCAGCTTCTTCAACACCTGCACACACAAAAACCGCTTCATTGCATCTGCCACATCAGGTGATGAGAACCCAGGCTTCTCATGAAGTTCTTAGAATGCTTTGCTGTCACAGGGTAAAACAAAACTCTTCACCGAGGACACAGTATACATCATTTCAGCAGAAAGAGGTACAGCCAAGTACCACAACCTACTGAGAGGGTACCATATTTTCCATTGTGGCAACGCAACACACCTGTGGCTTGTGTCAACAGCAATGAGCGACAGCTCAGTTTTAATATCTCAACATATTCGATGTTGCAAAACCATAGCATGCCATCGCAACTGCACCTCCTAACATACACAACAGTTTGTTCCAGATGGACAGTGTACTCGCTGTGCACTTGACAGAAAATTTTCGATAAAAGCGACACATATGGATGCCAGAAATTGTTGCCAATTCTGAGGAGGTGAAAGGGCATTGTCGTATCTGGTCGCAAAAAGTGTTGGCTAAGAAAGACTGCACCAGCAGAAAGACTCGATCACTCAGGAACAGCAAAAACAAAATACTCGATTAGTTTTCTTCGCTATGCAGGACAACTGGCGCCATCGTCAAGATGGCAGGACAGAAGGACTCGCAACTCCGCTGCAAATGCAATTTGTCAAATTCACGAGTTTGTTGTCCCTGCTTCCTGCTTGTTGTATCTGTCATCATTCTATGGAGCTCCACACTGTGTTGACACACAGTTGGACAGTTGGGGCAGTTGTCACAGAATTCCATATCTGGCAGCCAGATGCTAGTCAGAGAAGTGGCCAGACACCCTGAGGAGAAGTCCACTATCCCCACAAACGCCTTGGCAATGAAAGCTCAATTTCAAACCCACTGCAACCAATTCTGGCTCACGTAGAGAATGGAGTCCTCCATGAGCACATTGTAGATGAGGTGTCGAATGTATGCATGAATTGGTGGCCTGCGCTTCCGACGGGCACCACTTCGAGGAGGCTTGCAGACAAAATAAGCACTGTCAACAAGCGTCTTCTGGCGGTTGTCCAAAGTCTTTGCATTCTTTAGTCTCATCATAACCTATGGGCAATGCAAAAAAGCAGCTGAGATGCAAGCAATCACAACACTCAGTTTGCATTCCTTACATCTATTGAGATCAGCATAGAAGCCAAGCCAGGAAACCCATTTCTGCTACATCAATTCATCACACAGAACAATGTGCTGCATGTGCATGCTGCCTCCACATTAAACATGAGCCCGACAAAAAAGCCCGGTGCTTGGACAAGCACTCTTTGCCAACCTGGTGTGCAACTGAAGCTCACAAGTCTATTTCTGCCAACGCAACATGGAACCCCAACGAACGTGGATTTTACAGCCCGTTCCTGCAGGTTCCTGCAGTGCATATCTTACAGCACACTCATACTCAGCCACAACGTGAGACAGAATCTTTTAACAACAGCAATCTCACAACCAGGCACATGTCAATTGCAGCCACAAACAGCTGCAACATATGCATTTGGCCTGTTTGGGACTACCAGATTCAACAAATCCTAATTCAAGAACAGTTGCAAGCCACTTAAACTTAACTGGATGCCCAACTTTGTATTGGTACAAATCTGCAGGACAGCTGATAGCTACAATGGCAATTAGAAGTGAATTTTGCTGTGAGGATACTTGCTGCACAGAAATCCACAATGTTCCTAGGCAATACACATATTAGTTGCGTAACTGATTGGCAGGCAGTGGCAGCGTTTTCAATCGAATTCGATCCGCCCCCTGGATTAAGGTAGATTTTGCATTCAGCATAGGCCAAGGCACAAAGATCTGCAAGCTGGGCATGCTTTAATTGCCATACAACAGTAGACTTTGTGATCCGCCTGCCAATAGAATGCATCAGCCAGAAATGTAAGCAACATAGTGGCACTTGGAATATGGCTGGAGGTCAAAATGAAACAAGCACTCGACTGCATAAATGAACAGCACACCAAACGTGCAACATCACTGCATCAACTGCCATTTGAACTTGGGCCTGGGATTCAATCTAGATGTTCTAATGCCACGGTGTTGCAAAAGGGATCACAAACTGCAAGTTGCGAGCCCCCCAGGATAGCAACAACAAAAACAATCTTGCATCGGATGATGTGCCAGGTACCCAGCGCTGTTGATAACTTGTGACCTTGTTCCCTTGCTGTATTTTTGCTTAACATGATTGCTGTGGCAACTTGTCAAAGCACCTCTCATTCTGATGGGCACACTTTCATCTGCTTTGCTTTTCCCAGTATGTTGAGCCAACTCCACACGCTCATGGAGGTAGCCAGGGCAAGGGAACAGTGCTGAGAGCTTAGAATGTGCAAAACTGGGCAAGGTGGAGACTGACCTCAAGCATGTTCTCCATTCTGATCTGCGTCTCTGGCAGGCGGATGAGGAAACTGCCAGCCGTTTCGATGAGTGCGCAGGCTGCATCGATGCTGTGGTGCACAAAGTCGTCCAGCAGCTGCTTGAGGAATATGAAGACAGTGCCAAAGGGTATGATGCGGAACTTGCACAGCTCGCCAATGTAGCGCATGTTTCGGATGCGAGGCTCCAGAGTCATCTCTGTTGGGTCTTTGTGGGTGAGAAGGGCAGCGAACTCTTCCTCAAGGTACTGGCAGACGCCTAGAGCATTGCATCAAACGGTACTTCCAAATTGAATGTTAAACAGAGATCAAGTGCAGTAATCTTGTCAACTTGCAAGTTGATGGTGATCTGGTCTGCAGAATGGACGGGCAACATAGCGAAAGCGAATTGGCTTCAAAACAGACACACTTCATGAGCAACATAGAGACTGGGACACCTGCAGTGCAAACAAAGTGGTCAAAAGATGGCATCCACATAGCATGCTCCAGTGAACAACTGCACCTAACACAGGAAAGAAAACATTGAACAAACAAAGCAAGCTATGGCACATTACTTTATCCTACGAATTTCACCTGCATCGGACCTGCACAGCCTTGGTCGCTATTTTTGCCCCGCAACTTTAGGCAATTCAAGAAAAGAACCAACCGGCTCAGATGACACACTGCACATCATCTTACCATTGGCGATGTCTGGGTAGACCTGTTTGAGTGTGGCAGCAATGCGGGCAAAGAAAGAGAGGAGCTGCAGGGAGCCTTTGGGGACATCGCACAACGCCCGCATAAGACGCTTGCGAGCCGCCTTGGAGTTCAGATAGCAGAAATTAACGGAAATTTCATCCGCACTGTCGCGAGTCACGCAAGTTGGCAGACGCGACAGCAGTGCATCCAGTTCTTGATTTGATGCACGGGCTCGGCCATCTTTTGCCATAACCTTGTCTGTGCAACCAAACAACAGTGTCAGCAGTGGCAACTCATTGGCCTATGTAGTGCATTACAATGGGGGTCACTAGTTAAGCCCAAAAAAGAGGCCATTGCTCTCTTTGAAGGTCAAAGTCGCTGTGAATGGGGTTAGCCTCTACGGGGACCTCATTGAGCATACAAAAATGCCATGCTTGTTTCCCAACTGACTTTGACAGTTGTGACAGTGCCCAATTGGAGCAAGAGAATGCGAAGGTCCCACCAGCACGGGCATTTATTGAGGAGATCAGTGTGCAACCGTGGCATCCACAGAATCCATCTGTCCACGTGTGACAAGACAAGGCCCTTGCACCTGTGCGGAAGCCTGGGCACCCACGTCCACTGCCACGCTATCCAGTTCTGGGGAACAGCAGGATTGCAATCACAAAGGTCTGCTCTCTGCCTCACAGTGAGCACGCAGAGCTTTCTTTGTCTTCTCACTGTCTAACCGCTACTGACTGCAACAGTGACACTGAAACAACCTGCTCGCCAATGTCAACCCTTAATACCCTTCACATTGCACCAAACAACAACTGTGCAAAGTTGTTGAATGCATCAAACACAATTCATACAACAATGGAATGCAGCAAATAGTGAACACGGGTCAAGCACAGAATGCCATCAGCAGCCACACACTGAGCAAGCCAGGGTACACATCTCTTCAACACACAATTCACAGGACACCACCTGTGGTGTAGCTCAGCCAACCAAGCCCTAACTGCCGGTGCCTTCCCCAAGACACACTTCATACGGGGGAACTAACTACAAGCCATCCAGCAGCATTGGCAAGTATACAAGACACCATCCAAGCAGCAAGATGCCCAACTGCTTTGAGTGACATAGTGCTTTATTTATTTTGAGATGCCGGACGGATGCGCCGGATGGATTATTTTGTCCCGGAAACCTTGTCTTCTGCAACGCCCAGCAGCACTGCTGGGACCAGGGCCCTCAGGTCCGGAAGAGTCTCATAGAATGCTTGGGTTTCTGCATCATCGAACAGAGGCGGAGGTCCAGAATCGTCGCCCAAGTCGCCACCAGTTGCCTGCCCATCAGTGTGCCAATGGACACAATTTATCACTGCCATTGCTACCACATTTGGACTGTCGATGTGCACAATTATAAGCCTTATATGTTAGAGTGAAAGGACTCTACATTATGCTCAGCTGTTGACAAAGGAAAGGTAATGCATACATGCTTAGCATGGGTTTGCTGAACGTCCAACACGCCCTTGTGTTTTAAGGACCTTCATGGCCATCCCATGCCTGTACTACAGTGTGGTATGTGTTCAATTACCAATGTGATGGTTTGGCATCAGTCCATCTAGAGCCCCCGGGCCTGGGATGCTAGAACATTCATACCAACAAGCAGTGGTCGCCGATCGCGTACACAATGCCCTAGCGGCAGCCCTCTCTGATTTCTCCACCAGCCAGAAAGCCCTGAGGACCTTACCATCACAGCCTTGAAGCTGGGAGCAATACTTTGCCAATTGTTACAAATGCCGTTGAAAGAGAATAAGATAATTTGCAAACTTCACAACAATACACTGCATGAACAACCGATGAACATACACACAGCAAGTTAATCAAGCAGGGCCAATATCATCACGATGACCTAACCATTCCTTGAATATGGCACAAGTTGAGCTGAGACTGAAATCAACAACACATTAGTGTTTTGCAAGTGGCTGAATGAGCGCACCCCTCATGCTTCCCCCACGCCGACCCACTGTGAACTTTTTGGCTTCTGCAGGTTACCTGTGAGTCAGTGGTGACCCTGGTCAGCGAGTCGTCAGGCAGATCGGGCAAGTCTTTGTCCAATGACTCTGCAAATGCTGACATGTTTCTTTGCAGCGCCTCAAATGCCTGGGAACAACAACCGTATTTCCTTGAGACCACAGCATGACCCGCACATATAGCTTCTGCAACAATATTCTGGGTAATACAGCGGCATTCATCTGTCAGAGGGGCCGAATACAAATGGCCTGAATTGAGATATCATTGGCAACCATGAAACACTGAATGCGCAGTCACATGTGTAGTATGGTGTCAACCGTCTCAAAGCAAGGGAATGGCAGGGAATCTTCAGCAAATGCAGCTCCTCTGCAGTTTCCAATCTCCACATCTCTACAACATTGATGGACAAAACGGTTGCGCAATTTATGCATCAGAAATTGACAAGTTCCATGGGCTCCCCTCCATGGCAGGCCACTAGCAAGGTTCAACACACCCTGTAACAACTGCTGCCCACCTTCCTCTTCTTCTCATATTGGGCCGCCATCTCCTCTGGAAGTTCTCCCCTTGTGTTCAGCACGTGCATGTTGTCTTGCTCCTGCTGCCGCAGATCTGCATGTTCCGTCACAAGTGTGGAGCTAGCAACAGAGAAGGCACGCTCGAGTCCATCGCGAAATTGGCGTCTGTCTTCTTCTGGTGCCATAAACCTAGCAAATGCAAGTCCAAAATGATGTTCAACAAGCCAGTCTTGCAACAGTTGATGTGAGCCAAACAACCAACAAACACAACAACAACACCAACTACCGTCAGGAAACAACAGACCAGATGTGAACAGGTTGGACTGGGCAAACAGTGCAGGAATGGTGTGCACTCTCATGGCAACAGATCCACAAACGGTCAGTTGTGCGTGGCAGGTAAGGATGCAACCCAACGACAATACTTTAAGCTAACAAGCATTTGGGCCCTGACGTTTGTTTGCAGTCTCAATGGAAGAGGGTTAGCTCGAGCAGGACAAAGTGAAGATACAAACGCACCTCTTTGATTGTTCTGCCTCCAAATCCAAAAGAGCAGCCTTTGCACAACGCAGAGCTGGCTGTACTGCCTCAGGAACGCCATCGCCTTCCTGGGCAAGAAAGGTGCTGTCAGCTCTGCAGCCAGGACAGTGAAGGAAGCTAGTACAACCACAGCAAATTTGCAGACAAAGATAGATGAAGTGGGAACCAGGAATGTGCTGAACTGGTAAAGCTCACAACAAAAATGTGTGCCATCAGCTGGAGCATTGACACAAGCCACATGTGAACACATTGACACAGCCCAGCGACATGCTACAAAATGTGAGGCAACAAGTGGAACAAGCGACAAGCTGTCACTATTGCTTTCATTACGCCACAAAGCAATGGAGGAAAATCGTATAAATTTACGGAAATGGCGAGGCAGTTCACCACAACAACATAACAGCCGCAAAGGTGTACTGTGACAGGTCCTTGGCGATACACCAGAAGCAAACAGCAAGCCAAAGCCAAGCAGTCAATCAGCTTCCAAATTCTCCACAGCAACCATTAGCATATACCAACCAGACTGTTTCTCCTCTTGGACCTGTCTGCTTTTAAAGGCAAATGTTACAGCTGACTGCTCATTGTCACTTTGGGCATGCAAGGGCAAGAATGTTCATACTATATAATTCACTTGCCAAAAGTGACACATGCAAGGGCAGAACATTGTTCCCTACAGTACATGATTTCCATGTACTGCATATGTAAAACAAGACTACATGTTGCACCCAACAGGTCTCGGGCACCATGAATGGAGGCACACCAGTACAGAGTGGACTCCCAGGCGAGGGTGACTACTAGTGACATTGATGTGGGCTGCTTCAGTGCCATTCAAGCACACACCTCACCCTCGACACCAATCGGCAATGAAATTCGTGGCTTGTGTGGAAGGCCCAGCAGCTGGTCCCTGCCAGCCTTGCTGAAGGTTGTCAGAAGCAGGAGATGCAGCAGGTAGCCATCTTGGTTGGAGTGGTAGTCGGCAACAACCTGGGTAGGACATTCTGCTCTCAACAACTGCCCAGCTGTGGGGCTGCCATCTAGCATGAAGAAACATTCAGCTCCCCTCCTACCCCTCTCCCACTCCTCCCTCCCAATCGACTCTATTAGCAGACTCACTCTTCACCAGGCTCTTAAGGCACAACGACTGTAACCTCACGCACCAGAATCACCAGCATTCTAAAATGCTAAGCTACAACGACAGATGCCTTTATAACCTGAACCAAAAGACCGTTCAGGTCATCTATTATGAAGGATGTTGATGTCAGCATGCACATTGTCCTCCCTCACCAGTTCCTTCAGGACAGAGTGCAGCACTGACAAGTTTTGGTGCACTCCACACAGGAGGAGTTCGACCAAAAGCCGAACACATGAGCGCCTTCGCGAGCCAATGACCTTTTCATCATCTGTTAGGAAGTCACAGGAAATGGTGGTTAGCAGAGGAAGAATAGTGCAAAGATACTGAGTATCTTTACTCCAGCGAGGGAGTGACACAGCACAAAATGGAAACCCAAATCCAGAAGGCCATAGTTGGGAAAAAGTATGGCCCTGGCAGTCCATGTGGCCGCAAAAAAAATGCAAATTCCAAGCACAACTGTCGATGGTTGCAGCTAATAAATTTCCTGACTGCACCATGAACGAACAACAGGTTGCCGTTGTGCCTGAAATTGCATATCAAAGTGCAAGGGTTTTGTTCCTCATGTGTTCCAGACAAAAAAGCCATGGATTTCACTCGCCCCATAACCACAGATTAAGCTGCTGCCACTGGCAGGGTGGTTAGCACTGGTAGCAATATCCATTGATATAAATAGGTCAGCTGCACTTTAAAGCCTGTTTGCACTATATTGTCCTGATTTGTGCACCACTGGGCCAATCATGTGACAAATGACTTGCCCTTACGATCATTGAAGTGGACTTAAAGGAAGTCCAGCCACTGCAAAACAAGGAATGGACAGCATGAAATCAGGCAACAACAACTGCAGACCCCAAAGAGCAAAACATCATAGTGCCATAGCTCCTCATTACAGCAATCATGTGACAAATGACTTGCCCTTACGATCATTGAAGTGGACTTAAAGGAAGTCCAGCCACTGCAAAACAAGGAATGGACAGCATGAAATCAGGCAACAACAACTGCAGACCCCAAAGAGCAAAACATCATAGTGCCATAGCTCCTCATTACAGCATTTGCTGGATTCATCAGGTGAGACTCCACAACTGCCAAAGGCATGTGGAAATAAGGACAACATGGAGGGTGCCCCTCACCTCCAGCAGATTTGTTGGCTCCGTTCAGCGACTTGACAAGAGCATCGACAATACCGGCCCTGAAATCTGAGTACCGGTTATGCAGGAGTGTACACACCTGGTGACATGCAAGTGCACACAGAATGAGTAACCCTGGGAATTGCATGCATGGAGGACAGCGTATGTGGCAGGAGGGTTGACCTGTGGGCACACATCATTCACCTTACGTAAATCGCTGATACAAAACATTTGGCTTAGATATTTGGCTGCAAGAATCTTCCACACGTTTGCTGTAATGGCATCATTGTTCTGGTACCAGAATGGGGTACCCATTGATCATTTGTCTCCGCTGCACGCTCAGTTTGAGAGGAGAATTTTGACAGGCTGTGCAACTGGCTGCAGTACCACGAAAGGGAACATACGCCAACCACTTTGGTCAGTGTGGTAATGACAAAGTGATCAATAACCCCACAGCATTTTCTGCACAAACTGACGATGCACAGTTGTGAAACAAGCAACATGCGAATTCCAAACAATCATGCTAAAAGTGTATAGATGTTTTTGTACATCCTTGCAGTGCATATCTTTCAAAGTCTCGGCAGAACGAAGTATCAATATCTGCAAATACCTGCCAAGGTACCTACCTCTCAGGGCACTGAACGGGCAGAGCTTTACTGTGTGGCAACAACCCAGTGCAGAGAATAAATTAACACAATCATGATGAGCACCGCTAGCAATGAGAGGATCCTTTGCTCCAATCACACGGAAGAGACCAAAACAAAATAGTGCAAAGATGATGGCCATCCCATCCTAGTGTATCTATTGCTCAGTTGAGTGGGAAATGCATCGCTGTCCTTCACTCTCATCAAGGTGCGCTGGTGATGTTTTGCCACCTTGCAACAGCTGGAATCAGAATGGACTGTGTGTCCTCCTTGCAAACAAGCGCTTGTGCTGGGTGACACTGCCAATGGTCCTGTTCAAGTACTTGTGCAACAGATTGTCAGGGTGACACCGCTTACACACTCCAAGTAAATTGCATTTTCCCCCACAATACCTGAATTGCTGCAGGAATGTCTTTGCTCTTGATGGGCGTCTCAGCGATGGCTACAACAGCCTCGCTCACATACTGCAAGACACCAGAATTAGTCTCCCCTGTAATCTTTCTCCGTAGAAATTTCCAGCCAGGTGGCCCCAACTGCAGTTGCTCGATTCTCAAACCTGGTTGTGCTTATTGTGTTTTCAGTCAACAAATTTCAGTTGCTCAAGGTTCACACTTGTTTCCAGCGCAGTGCACTGCTGGCGCGGCAGCTGCCAATACACAAAATAGAAACCAATTGTTCTGGGCCATGCATCATTCATGCACCGCCAGGAGAAGTTTGCTTTCATGCTGTCGGTTACCGCAGTCTGCCAGAAAATTTGGAAAAAACAACCATGGGTTCAAAGAGCACAGACATCCTTCACATGACTTCCAGAATATGAAGCAGCTATCATATGGACAACAAGGCTTGTGAACAGAAGGCACAGCGCTGTGGGCCACGCCAGAATGGCCACGTTCTGACCTACTCCACAGAAATCAAGCAGCGTAGTTTTGGTGCACTGATTAGTTACCAACACAGTCCCATTGCCTTCAGTAATGACAGCAGAAAACTGTCAGCTGGTGACAAACTATCAGGCACTCAGTCGCCTCTGCAGCAGCCCTACAGGTGCTGCTTGAGCAACTCGAATCGTATTTGCCTGGTAGTTTTGATCGGCCATGCCTACTGCTATGCCTCCAGGGGCCCCAGGATCCCCCAATCTTGAACAAAAGCAAAGAACAACTCCTGTCAAACACGAATGCTGGTGATTCTGAGATGTCCTTCCTACCCGGCTCTGGTTCACTTTCAGAATTTCTTCACAGAGTGAATTCCTGCTCTCTTCTGAGATGCCCCTCAACTTCTTTATAAGCGCGGCATTGCGCTTGACACTGGATTCACATTTTTTCAGCTCATCATCGCCTGTACAGTACAAATGCAATTGATGTCCTTTCGCCTTGGCTTGAAGTGCAGTTCACAGCCCATGTTGCCATAAGAATCACAACCTGAAATCTGTTTGACTACATACACCAAATGCAGTGCCAAATGGGCCTTCTGACAATGTCATGCGATGCTGGGGCATAGGTGGATCACAACATTAGGTAGGTTGCTCAATATATGGCTAACTGAACTAGCATGCAGTACAGATGAATAATATTGGTGGTGCACAAAACCTGTGGCTGTGCCCTTGGAGTTTACAGTCGCCAGGCTGCAGACTGGAAGGTCAGGTATGGTGCCTTTGAGCATTGCAAGGTCAGGCACGAATCTGTGTCTCTGCCCCTTTTCATGCTCGTGTGCAGCTTAGATCAACCACAGGTGATCTACACCGAAGTGTGCATCAATGGGCATGGCTTGTTGGCCTGGAGACAGCCAATACAGCTACTCTGCAGCTCTTGAATGTGCACAGGGCCTCCAGCACTTGCTTGGATGTGTAACGTCGAGGTTGCCCTGCCTCTTTTCCCTCTGTTCCTTGAATTGCTGGCAGAGCCGTTCAGCACGCTCCTTCACTTCCTGGAATAGCAAAGTCCATCTCAAGAATATGAACCGACTCAAAAGCACTTGCAACCAGGTGGCCACATGTGCGCCCCTGTGTCTGTTACAATCTTACTGCCATGGCGCCGTTTCTCTTGTCTGGGTCCCGCGCCAATTGATGTACAATTCATTACCAAGGCATCACACCAAGATTGCCTCTTCCAACGGACTGATTGGACCCAACACATGCCAAGTGCAAACCGATTGGCCGCATGGTGAACTCTTATCACAATATAGCGTCGCTCTTTCTGGTTGTCTACAATGGAATCACAATGCTCGGCGAAAATTTCCAACAGAAAGGAAGAGAAAGCAATCATGCAAGACAACGTGCACCCTCCCAAACAAACATCCATGCAACAATCTTTCCCATACTGTACAAAATGGTGCAAAAGACCAACGCCGGAACAGGAGAGTACGCGCAGCGAACAGCAGCACGAACGCGAATACAATCCGCACGCAAGACCCTTTCCGACCATGGCCATGGCACGTACGCTCCGTTCACAAAAGCTGTCAGCTAATCTTGAAGGACAACCCCTGAATTCTGACGTTGACCTTTGCTTGACCGTTTTCCCTTCGGCGCGGGCGCAGCACCCGGGGCAATTGGATCGGAGCCCCCAATGCCGCACCGCAACGTTCCCGCCACAATGGGGACCCAAACCAAAAACTCCGGCCCCCCACAAAAGCGCCCCTCCCATTTTCACCGCCGCCCGCGCGCGAGTCAGCCGCACCTCGAGGATCGACACAAGTCCTTCCGGGTCCGACCAGCCGCCCGTCTCCTTCTGGCCGTCTTTCCCGGCGCCCTCGCCCTCCCTCTCCACCGTCATTGGCTTCGAGCCTGCGATGCCCCACACCGCCCCGGCCCTCAAAAAGCCGATCACCAGAACGCTACCGAAATCTTTTCGCACCTCTGGGTCTAATTCCCGGTGTAAAACGCCCACCCGATGCGGCGGGATTCCGCCACCGGCGGCCAACAACGCCGGGATCCCGCGCGCCATTCGCCCGGCATCCGCGAAGGTGGCGAACGGACCCGCGATGGGCGCAGATGCCGCGCACGCGGCGTCGCAGCCACGAGAAAGGTAACAACTCCCCCGACCGTCCCATTCGCGACCCACGCCCCCCCTCCGCCCCCCACTTACCAACGTCCTTCCCCACGGCGGGCCGCTCACCGCGCCGGCCTGGTCCCTCCCCCCATTTCATGCTGCCGTACACAAATGCCACCAGCCCCTCATTACCGACCAATCTCCCAACAACCAGCCCCACCAACGCATTCCCACACCCAACCTCAGTTCCGCTCCCACAAAGCACTTGCCGCCGCCCGGCGGCCACCAGCGCTCGCCTTAACACAGGAAGACGCCACTTTGCGCTTCTCCGTTTTTGAAAAGCCGTATCTGCGTTTGCGTCTCGGCTCGCCAGTCGCGAGCGAGGGGGCCTGCGTGGCGGCGATGGCGTGCTCCCGGCTGTGTGTGAAGAACTTGCCGGCCGACGTCGGGGACGCTCAGCTGCTGCGCCACTTCGCCGCGCGGGGCAGCGTCACCGATGCCAGGGTGATGCGCACGAGGTGGGCGCTCGTCGGGCGGATTTGACCAGTGCGGAGGCTGGACGGAACAGCCGAAGAGGGCCCTGCACTGGGGATCAGTTGCGGATTGGCAAGGGTCAGCAAGAGTTAGCACATTATTGCTCGTTGCCCAATGATTTGGCGCTGCGTGGCACAATAAGCGCATGTGGTGCACTGGGCAGATGGGGATATTTATACTGGGATATTTGGAGTAGTACATTTTCCTTTTGTCCTTGTAAATGGGACAGTATTTTGTGCCTGTTTTCTTTCGCAACGTGGTGTAAATCCGTTACGAATACTTTTGGCGAAGAAGCTCTGGGCGTTATTTAGTCGTAAAAAGCCCCTGTGGACAGCAATCTCCATCTAAGGACGTTTTCTCAACATCAGGCATGCATGTCAAACAACAAAGGGCGCCACACTCCAGAACAGGAATTGTGTACGGAGATTGCTTGTCCAAAAAGCTGAGGCGGAAATCTGAGTGGATCTGGAATAGTATGCAACAGAGCACGCAAACATAGCAAAAGAAAGGTACATCTGGGGGGGGGGGGCGTGCGTCGAGCAGGTGTGCAAGATGGAAAATGAGGGTAGCACAATGTAAGTTGCTTTGGGCATGTCCATTGCAGCCAGCAATAAAACACACCGCCACAAACCCCTATCTGTACAAAGTGCCAACTCCCTCAAGCTTCATGTATCACCCACCTATTTCCTAAGCCAGCCACCAGTCAAGCTCCAATCAGCTTGTTGCGTCCCCCTGCATCATGGACAGGCGTTTCTAATCCCTTCTTTCATTTCTATGTGTTCCACATGATGGTAAGCCTTCCTCAATAGGAACAGAATTATGGAAGAATTGTCTTTTAGGCAGACATCTCTCCAAAGGGGTTTTGCCTCCCACTGGTGGTTTTAGCCATGTCCTACATCCTTAGTATATTTGTTGCGCTTCGTTGGCGTGGGAGAACGTCTTGTTTATTGTTAGAGTGGTATGTTGCACATGACCACAGTAATTGATCTCCCTCCAATTGCTGCTGCAAGCCTTCCTTTGGCTCTCAAACATGCCAGCATTTTACCTGTACAAGCCAGTTGCCTGGCTCCCAACTATAGATAAAGAAGTTCCAGCTTTGGCATTAATGGACATCTCGTGCTGAAATCGTTAGTTAGTATTCGCCTTCGAATGACAAAACAAAACCCTTGCACCTTGCATGCGAATGACAGACATGTGCACAGCCAAAGCGTTGTAGTGTTGTTGTGTCTCTCCTCTCCAACCATTTTGGCTGCTCACCACAAGTCTGTGAAACATACTTGCTGAGGTCGGAGAAGAAAAGCTGGAATCCAAGATATGCTAATGCCTGAGATGCCTTAGTTCCACCCAACAACGATGTGATGCACTTGTTGGCAACTTGCAGCACCTGTTTCACCGCCCCAGGGGCTGCCTACGCCTGTGTGCCCCAATCTCTTCGACTTGGAACAGGAATGTCGCCAGGGCCCCAACATTGTGTGCAACATTGACTCAATTGTTGTGGTCCTTGCAGGAATGGGCAGTCCCGACAGTTTGGATTTGTGGGCTTCAGCACTGCAGAAGAAGCAGTGGCAGCCCAAAAATACTACGACCGTACGTTCATTCGCACAAAGAGGATAACTGTTGAGGTGCAGTGTGCTTGAACGTGTCGATTAGCATTATCTGTGCCTGATTCCTGGACTTGGGTGTTGGCCCATCGCAAGAGACACCAAACTCGTCAGAAGTAGCCACTGTGATGGCAGATGCTCTTTGTTGCTTTGGAGCTGTTTGGCCAACATTTATCGATGGGCGACTGTTGGCGCAACTTTTGTTGCTGGCAACACAAGTTGTTTGCGACTGCAAGCAAACCTGGTTGGCACTCCTTCAACATTGACAGCAGCCTATGAGGATGGAAATGGTGCCATTCATGGTCTCGCATTTGCACAGATCGTGGTTGGCTCTTTGGCGTAAGGGCATTCGAAAAAAAGTTCTTGGTCTCCTGGAGTTAATCTGCACACAGTTGATGGCCAACTTGCGGGCACCTACCATGAGTCAAACATCAAGCTCGTGGTTTCGTTCTTTAACTTGCAGCATGCTGCCTGTCATAGCCCAGCTGCGTGGAACTTCCAAAGGAGGAAAGGAAGACAGTCTAGAGTCAGAGATTGTTGGAATTGCCTGTGGCTTGTGAAACAACTTCATCCCTTCTGTTTGGCCCTCCCTTATGGCAGTGCGATTGTTGTGCAGTTTGCCAAGAAGGTTGGGGATGAAGGCCTTTCAAGGCCATGGAGCAAACACTCCCAAGGTACATCTGTTTGCCATGGGCTAAGCTTGAACTGCTGAAAGAGCGCCAGCTATTGGGCATGGTGCATGATTGCATTCTTTTATTCCGATTTCTGATAGAAATGTCCTGTGGGAATTGTCTGCGAGCTGATTGGGACAAGGTGGAGGAAGGCAAGGAGTGCTTGTGGTCCCCATCTGCTAGTCACCTGGGCAATTTTCCAAGAGGTGGTGAACTGGACACAAAGAATGCATATGCACTACTTTCTGAAAGTACAGTGCGGATGCGGCAACACTTTTCCAATGTGGAGCCACATCTGGCATTGCTCATTGGTCACGTAGTAAACGAAGTCACTATGGATACGTGGAGTGGCTCCATTTCTGATGGCATCGGGGTTGCTGCTCAAGGCAGGAGAAATAGAACATGCTTGTTCAGTGGTTGTTGTTTGCCTCACTCACTGCCATGGCTAATTTGATCGCCTTGTTTGACTCGGTGGCCTTGATGAGAATATTTGTACACTTCATGATTTCTATGACCGTTTGTTGTGAGTAATGCAGCTGGCAGTTGACAGCATTGACGTTTGAACTGTCCTTTCTGGATGGAAACTAGGGATTCATGTTGTGGTAAGAAACCGAACGGGCATGTATGTGAGTAGGCATTGCCCTCGCCCAAACTTCAACTTTGACATCCTTAGAATTGTATATCCAGATTACATGTGAGATCGGTCTCTGCTGGTTGGTTTGTTGTTTCACCTGGAAGAAAATTGACAGGTTGTTACTTGGCCGTCAGGCAGCTCTGCTCATGCAAAGATCAAAGAAAGAATCGAAATTCAGGATGTCAAGGTCAACAAAGTGAAAAAGAAATTGACGGTGGAAAAGGTCAAGAAGAAGGAAAAGAAAGTTAAACGAAACAGTGCGGAGGAAGGTAGCAACGATGTGGATGAAAGGAAGAAGACTGAACAGGCAGATGGTGGGGAAGAAAATGAGCAAGGAGGAGGACAGGAAGGTATTAGAACATCATTTGAGGGGGGTAAGACTGGGTTTTTATCTTGAGAATTAACTCAGAAGTTGTCAACTACCAGTGCACGTTCAAGGCAATAATGGGCATAGTTCCATTAATGACAGTTGTTCATGCTGCTGTTGTGGAGGCTTGGACATTGAGTTTTTGATGCTGCCTACTATGCATGGACAGGTGAAGTGACACTGGAGGAATTTCTTACAGAAGTGGCTCCAAAGCACAGGAAAAGGCTGTGGTCAGATGGCATGCCTCAATCGATGGCTAGCCTGCAGCCAGCAAAGAAAGCTCGGCAGGTGAGAATTGTTCTTAGAATTTCATTTCGAGATAATATATTGTTGATTGGCTTAATGGACTGTATGCTGTATTCAATGGGTCCAGCAGTGTGCACTTCTTTGGCATCAACGTAGTTCATTGTGTCCAAATGAACAGCCCAAGGCATGAGCAGAGACACATCCTGACATCATCCCCATCGTCCTTGTGGAATATTGTGCAATCCCAAAGCTTCTAATGGGTGTCAATGATTGCTATTGTTGGCTGTGTTGGCCTGCGGGTAGCCCTGCACTCTTGAAGGAAAATCCAGCATTCATGACAGCCGATGCTGCTGAGCTATTCAATGTTCACAGCACTGATACTGACAGCATGGCATCCTGCAGGTGGATCAGTGGAGCGTTGTTCATGTCAAGACTGTTCATTGAAGTTCACAAACATGTTCCAGTTGCATTTTGTTGCTACCAGTGTTGTTGTGCTCGAGTGTTTCGTAGCACAGCCTTTGTTTCAGTTCCAGCCCCGTGCTGCTGTTCGTTACTGGCCTTCAGCACTAAAGAGGCCTGCTGCTTCAAGGGAAGAAGCTTTGTGGAGCTTCATGGCTTACTGCTTTTTTCTTTTTTTTGCTGGTAGCAGGTGCAAGTTCAGGAACCACCGGTAGCATTTGAGCAGGTTTTTGTTTTGGTCAATGAGCTGCTGTTCCTTTGTAGCCTGGAAACTAGCTCTTGTGGGAAAATATTTCAACCAACGATGCGGAATTGTTGGCTGCAAATGGGCATGGATGGCGCCATCGCATTGACAGTTAGTGATCGCAAGCGCAGAAGTTCAAGACTTGAATTGACCCAGATCAGTATCATTTTAAGAACTTGTTTGTGGCCTCAGGGTGGCAACATTCATAAACAAGGGGGCACAACAGCTGAAGAGAGCGAACCAGAGGAGGAAGGTATGCCATTTTGGGAGCTGACTGTTTCGCTTTGGAAATTGTGCCAGCTGATCAGAGTCTTGGCCTTTGCAGCTGCGCAAAGAAGATGTTTGTGCGCTTCTTTATTGGTTCTAGCAAGAGTAGATATACAAATGCATCTCAAAGCAGTTTGCAGGTGAAACTGTGGAATTGGGGAACCGTCATGGTTGCATGGAGGGATCCAGACTATCACACTGTTGGTCGTTGCAAGTCTGCATGTGTCTGAATCTATATTGAACTGATTTCAGAAGTGCTTGTCCATCCCGGCCTTGGCAGCACACTTGATTCCATGTAATGCATACATTGTTGGAACCTATTTTCTGAAGAAATCTGTGCTCTTTTGAGAGCCAGCAACTGACGATGTTAAGGTCCTTTCATCGCTGATGCACAAGTCTTATTGTCCTGGACTATGTTGACCATGATGTAGGAATGTCAGACAGTGAGGACAGCATGGGTGACAGCTCTTCGGGCACTCATGCTTCAAGGAGCTTCAAGGGCACCGATGACGAGTCAGACCTGCAATACTTGAAGAGCAGGATGCAGGAGCACTGGAAAGATGACGATGACGATTTTGGTCGTAATGATGACGACCGAGCAGTGGAGAGGCCTAAGAAGCGACTGAAATCTGCAGCTACAGTTGACAGTGAAGTGGTGTGCAACGAGGCAAATGGCAAGGAGCTGCATGGGTCAAAATCCAAAGCCACCAGTAGGGCCACCACGGGTCTGGATGCAAAAGACAGGGACAAGATTATGCACACCCATAGGCTGTTTGTGCGGAATCTGCCATATGCTGCTACAGAGGCTCAGCTGTGGAAGTTGGTTGAGGAGTTTGGTGACGTGTTGGACGTCCATTTGGTGACAGACCGAGGGACGCAAAGGTAAGTGGTGGGTCAAAGATGCGTTTGGCACACTCCACGAGGTTGAATTCGTTGCACAAAGCAAAGCTGAGTCCTTTTGCCATATTGGGATGAGTTGCATGCAAGACAACAATTGTGTGTCCTTTTCTGTCCTTGTGCTTGGTCCTTGAAGAGGGGGTTGCTTGTAGCCCGCTAAGGCTCCACAGACTGTGGATGAGCTCGCCTTGTTTCATGTAGGTCTGTGGGCAAGAGATTTTGAGCACTCACATTGATATCACATTCTCTTTTCCCTCACCTGGCTAAGCGGTTTGCTCCATTCGCAGAGATATGGCAAAACACTGCTCTTGCACCCTCCAATGTGATGTCTGGCAATCGCCCACGGTCAAATCCATTTGGGTGCGTTTGAGTTCATTTGGGACTGATTACTCCCAGTCTGCCTGCCATGTTGCTGCATTCCTCCAGTAACCTTCTTATACCCTGCAGAAGTGATGACATTCCTTGTAACATCTCCATGGAACACCTCCTGTAGATGAACTGTCCAAGAGATTGCAAGTGGGCACGAGTCAGACTCCCTGGGTGCTTGTCGTCTACTACCCCAGCAAGCGTGCTCACAGTTGAAACTGGCAATCCAATAGCATCGACAGGCCAGAAGAGCCCACCACATAATCTGGCTGAGCAGTGAGGTGGCCATTTCATCGCCCCATACGCTTCCCTTTCCAAGAATGCAGCCTTGGATGCAGCCCGACAATTTCCATGCACGTCTTTGTAACGGTTTGACACCTTAGATGAATTCCACTGCCGTCTCCCTGTCCTCAACCGTGCGCTCAGTCGTGCCGTGTCGTTGGCTTCTGCAGGTCCAAGGGCTTCGCGTACGTCCAGTTCGCCAAGGCGGAGGATGCGCTCTCCGCGGCGCAAGCCCTGGACTGCCGCGCCTTCCAAGGCCGCCTAATCCACATCCTCCCCGCGGACGCGCAACCCGATCGGCCTCCTCAATCGGACGTCCCAAAGTTTGCCGGCTTCAAGGGCGAGCGCGAGGCGCAGCGGCGCCAGGATGCAGGCAACAGAGCGGCGTGGAACACGCTGTTCGTGCGGGCGGACACGGTGGCGGAGGCCGCGGCGGCGCACTACGGGATGAGCAAGGCGGAGCTGATGGCGCGCGACGCGTCGGATCTGGGCGCCAGGCTGGCGCTGGGCGAGGCGCAGGTGGTCGCGGAGACGAAGGAGGCGCTGGGGGAGGCGGGTAGGTGGCAAGGCTCTTGAGCCCATTTTGGTGACGTCTTTGGCGTGCATTCGTGACGTCTTTGGGAAAGCGACGGGCGTTGCAAGAAAGCCTTGAACTCTCAGGGAACAGCACCCATTCGGAGGAAGATTTCTCCTTGAACTCCCTTTCATGAATCGACAGCACTGCCACGCCACTTTGGCACTACAGCCTGCGGCACAACTGCTGCTGTTATCACTTTTGAGATTGTGCTTCAGCAGTAGTTCTAATTGCTCAGTATTAGTTTCAACACCAGGATTCAGTGCCGTGCCGTTTATCACTCTTGCACACTTCCCACATCCGCCCATTGTTGTGCATTCTTCCAGCAACTGCCGTTGCATCGATACAGGTGTGGACGTTGCGAAGCTCGAGGCCGCCGCCCTCTCGTCTGGGAAATCAGCCCAGGCAGCCTCTGTCGACCGCTCCTCCACCGCCCTCATCGTGAAGAACCTGCCATATACCACGGACGCCAAGGAGCTGGAGGCTTTGCTGGCGTCGGCGGGGGCCGTGTCGCGCTTCGTGCTCCCGCCAACCAAGGCATTGGCGCTGGTGGAGTTTGAGGGGCAGGAGGGGGCGCGACGGGCGTTCAGGAGCCTGGCATTCAAGAAATATCAGAACGTGCCTATCTACCTGGAGTGGGCACCCAAGGATGTGTTTGCGAGCGCACCCAGGGTGGCTGATGAGGCACACAGTGAGGATGAAGCCGATGTCCCAAAAGATGATGCGACAGGTGGGTTGATCGAATGTCTAATTTAGCCATAACGCTGTATACCAATGTTTGTATGTTTATTTGAATGTGAATCAGCTGATTTGCTTGTTGGTTGCGCTATGGCTGCCAGGCAACATGGACCCTGTGTGCCCTTTCTGTGACACTGAAAGCTGACCTGGTGGAGAGCGGTTTGGGGCTTAGGGCGCATGGGCTACTCCGCCAACTGATTGGATTACCACTGTGGGCAAAGAGGTTGCTGCACTAAATGGATGACGATGACTTGGGTATCTTGATATCATTTTGCTGGCGCGATTTGAATAGTCTTTACCATCCCCTGAGCAGCACTACCCGAAAGGTTGTGTCCATGACATGGCCACCCCCGTAGATTTTAGGGATCAGTTGCACGCCATTGGTGACATGTCTATGGTAAATATTATAGTGGACAATAAGAATACTACCATGGACAGTGTTCATGCAATTGATCAATTGCAAGAGAGGTTCCCCGTCCCTGGCTGCACAATCTTTGTTTGAAACAATGAGGTTGGCTGTGATCCTTATCTCCAGTGGAAAGCCCACTGGACTGCAATGATGGACTTTATGGGCGCAAGTGTGCAATCAACGCCTGCAAGGTATTGGTGACAGGGCCTATAGCAAATCCCTTCTCCAGCAGCATGGGCTGCATGTCAACGACTTTGTCGCACGAGTTCTGTGTCTTCCTGAAAAGCCACATTACAGGCGATGTTTTGTTGTTTTGGACTGCACTTGTGCTGGCAAGGCAGTGCACGGGCATTTGCACTTTGTGGGCCACGACAGGCGCATACACATCCTGCCAGTTTGTCTCTTCCCCGCTAACACATATCTCTGTTCGCCAATCGCGCGCATCACACGCATTCGGTCGTCTGGGACGGGCCAGGGACTGATGCGTGTCGTTTTGTGGCAACGTTGTAGCAGACGCACGGGCAGCCTCCGAGCCTGAAGGCGATGACGCAGTGAAGACGCCCTCCATTTATATAAAGAATTTGGCGTTCTCGACCAACCAGGAGGCTCTGAGGAAGCTCTTCGACTCTGCTGCGTCTGAGGTGGGCGGCCGGTTGCTGTCTGCCAAGATCGTGTACAAGAGGAAGGGCGACAGCAAACTGGTGTCGGCAGGGTACGGGTTTGCGGAGGTGGACGAGTGGGAAGTGGCCAAGCACGTGATTAGGAAGCTGCAGGTGCGTCCTTGCAGGGGCACAGATGGCTCGTTGAACTTCTGCTCCGAAAAGACGAATTGCTATGGAAAATGAAATGGAAAGAAGTGAAGCTTGGCAAATGCATAAAATGACTATGGGAAGTGACTCTACTGTGAATAGTTCCATGAAAAGGAAATGCACAGGTGAGCGCTAAAGCCAGGCGAGTGGATTAAACGCAAAATGCAGCCCAACGACAATACCCGAAGGGGATGCAGGGCGATGCGGCAGTTGGGCTTCCGTGATGCAGTGGGCGCAGTGTGGCCAGGCTATGTTTACCTTACGGTGATGGCGCTAAATGCCATGAAACGGCATGGATCTAACAGCTCCCTTTCGTTGACAGTGAAACAATGGTGCTCATTCTTCTCCTTGGTGGCCAGCGGAAACTAGTCAATTCTGATTGGCGTCATTGACACTAATTTCACACCGCGGATCTCTACCTGATCCGAACTGGACTGTGCCCGAGGCTGAAGCCATGCACACCCATTTGCAGGGCCACGTCCTCGACGGCCACAAGCTCGATGTGCGCCACAGCTCCAGGCGCCCCTCCAACGTCAAGCAGAGCGCCGCGGCCGTCCAACCGGAGGGAAAGTCCCGGGGACGGGACGCCTGCTCCAAGCTCGTGGTGCGCAACGTGGCCTTCGAGGCCACAAGGAAGGACCTGGTGGAGGTCCTGGGCGCCTTCGGCCACCTGAAGAGCTGCCGCCTACCACGCAAGTTCGACGGCCACCACCGGGGCTTCGCGTTCGCTGAGTTCGTGACGAAGCGGGAGGCGCGGGCCGCACTGGAAGGGGCGGCGGGCGTGCACCTGTATGGGCGCCGGCTGGCGTGCGAGTACGCCAGGGACGAGGAGGGGATCGAGGAGCTGAGGGCCAAGACGCTGGCGCAGTTTCACGAGGACTGATGGACGGCTGGCGGTTAGGGTGGCGGAGCGTGCGCGAAGGGGAATTGTGAAGGGCTGTGGCAATGTCTTGGTCATGGTGGGATAAATCACCGGCACTGCTTTGCTCAGGCGAGATGGGCAGCTGACGGCCACCTCCTCGTCTGGATGTGTAAGGTATCCTGATGATGATGTGAATGCATCCTTATCTGGAAGGCACCGACACAAAATGTGCCTTTCCTGGCGTGCAGCCACTGTGTACCATTCTGTGGCATGGAAGTGTGCGTGGAAAGCCCTTGGTCGTGTGTTCGAAAGTGGCAAAGAACAGCCCCAGGGTTCGCAAGGACATCCCAAGCACGAGTCTGCGTGGAGAGGGTGCAGAAGGGGTGTCATTATTTGTGAACTATTCTCGGGATAGTTGACGTTCAGGGCACCAATAAATGGAGCCAGTCTAATTGAATAGATAGCTGCCATGCCACATGAAATATTATGCGAATACTACCAAGCTGGTGCCCCGTGAGGCCCAGTTTTCCAGGCGGGTGTGGCCTTGGTCGACAGTTTGCAAACAGACCGGAGGGATACCCCTCAAGCAACTCGCCAAGTGGCCGCAAGGAACCCACAGGGGCCGTCAGGGCCCGGATGTTCGCCAACAAGCACAAACTGCCACGTGAACCCGCCCAGCTATTCACCCACTGCGCAGGAAGCACCCAGGAAGCACCATAGCCAGTAAGGCCCGCACCCGACGCCAGCCACCCGCATGGCTAGCGACTGGCCGAGATGCCGCGCACATGCCAAGCGACTGACCCACCTTGACCAGGGCACCTGCTGATAGGCTTTGCGTTGAAAAACTGGAGCAATGCCTGTTGACCGGGCAGTTCAGCCCCTGGGACTCTGCGGAGGGGGTCGCTGCCACATGGCGGCGAAGACAATCCCAAAAGGATTGTTCGAAGGTGGCCGGGGGGATCAGGAGCATGAGGCAGAGTTCCCTTTCTTCTTGGGCAGCAGACTTATGGATGGGTGCTCGAGGGAGAGCAACCCCCGAAGATGGATGCGGGCGCCGTGGACGGGGCGGTCCAGACGCGCTTCTGAAACGGGGAAGATCTTTCTAGAAAAGTTGAGTGGGCTATTCCACAGAGGGGGGCCCTTGCACCCAACCCTGCCGGGGGGTTTGCTTGTGGAGCCTGCCTCAGGAAAAACGCGCCGACCCAATGGCGGGCCAGAGGGGGTGCAAGGGGGTGCGAGTGTGGAGAGTGGGATGGCGGGGGGCGCCTGTACCGCCGAGCACTGACTCAGAGGGGCGCCCCGGGGGATTTGTGATACATACGCATATCAGGCAAGGATCGGGCGCTGTCACGTCGCCCTATATGCTAGGCTATTGTGCACAGCCTGGCACATGGGTGTTTGTCTACAGTCAGGCTAGAGATATTATTATGGTCTAGATAGGGTCATTAAAAAGTTTTGATGACACAATTCAACTGCAAATTCAATTTGCAATTGAATGGTACAAAATTTGTGTTTTTTCTGATAAGTTTGGAGGATTATGGGTTCCTAGGAAGAACGAAATAAGTGGACCCTAATAAACAATCTTCGATTCTGATGATGTTTTGAGATTTTTTGCATTGAAGGACCATGTAGAATTGAAAAAGAACAGCAAATTAGGTGTTTTGGGGATAGTGGAGACTGTTGGCAAGTGTTGCCTTGAAGATAGGATAGTTTATGATGAGATCTGCATGGATTTGCCCATGCCATGCAAGAACTCCGGTGATTGCACCACCATGGCTGTGTCACTAGATGACAATGGCCTGGACGGGCGGATGTCGATTGTGTTTGCGTGGCAAAGGGACCTGGGGTTTCCGTCCCCCCAGGATGTCAAAGATCTATCGTCCGAGCTGGAAGCATTCCAGATGAAACGAGAGAATACTCCAAGAGTTCGAGTGCATACCGTCCTGGCTGGCCAGAGGATGGTGTGGGATGTTGAGTGGAAGAGGGCAAACGATCTAGAAACGGTGTTGCTGCAGGAATAGGACGTTGTCTCTTGACTGAGACCTCAAGTTGTGCAAGGTTATTAAGGATGCCACAGCAACCTTCGAAATGCTGTTCGACATGCAAAATTTTCCGCCATTTCTCAAGTCCGAGATTCTTTGCGGACTTGAATCCATGGCATATCAAGGAATCGAGTCATCATGGAGGGTGGTGGCTGGGGATATTGTGGTGGTGTCTGTCAGAATGGAGCATAATACGCCTATTCTTTGGCAAGCAAAGATAATCATACACAACAAGCTGGTTGTGGCGGAGGAGCGGGTCTTGGCTGGGCTGTTTGCTCAGCAAATCCAAGCCAAGATGATCAAAGAAGCCTTCGACATGGATGAAGAAGTGAAGGCACAATGACAGGAGTCCCGTCAATTGGAAGACATTCTTCTTGGAGCAGTTCCTATGGCGGTTGTGGAACCCTCTCTGTTTGAAACTATTGACGAATTACACCAAGGACAACAAGAAATCAATGAACTCAAGGCTAAGGACGATCTGAAGGTAGAAGTATTGAATTGGCTTGCCCAAAAAGTAACCTGGGCCCCTTGTGGTCAAGCCAAAAGTCTCCCCTGGGTCCCTGAGGATTGTTGGTGTGGGGCCCCTGCCCTCTTTGAGCCACGGACCCGCCTCGCCGGGCACCTAGGTCCTTACAGGGACCTAGGTGGGACCACCCCGACCTACTCCCTTATCGTATACTATCGTATAAGTTGGTTGGGGTATCATTACCATATCTTGGGCAAGGCGTCCCCTACACCAAGGAGCCAGTAGTAGGGCGTCCCCCACATCAGGCCAGTGTGCGTAACACCCAATGTACTAAAGGTGTGACGTGGCTACTTGGGGTTAGGCAGTTATTGACGTTTTCGGGAGTGGAAATTACGTAATCTGTGATATCGGCCTTTTGTGTGTGTTATATAGAGCTTCTTGGTTCCAACGCGCCCTTAAACGCCCAAATCCGTTGAGAAACGGCGAAGTTACGGCCTCCTGAAGTTGCAGTACTTAGGGGCATGGGGTCGGGTGTCAGACGCTTGGAATTAGAGGACAATGCATCGATCGTAGGTGAATGGTGGATGGTGATTTGGTGCCTGGACGTGCACATGAGTTGTCTTGTCTTGATGTGACTGCGATGGACCCGCGATCGGGCATCGCGCATGCGATATGTGCGCGCGCATGTAGTGAATCCGTGTAACATCTTTTGGTCCACTCTCTGACCTCCCGCAAGCCAGCGAACCACCACCGCGCTGCGCCACCACCTCTCGCTGACAGCAGGCCCCGGGGATCGATCCCCGTCGAGCATTGGGTCCACCGCGCGACCGCCGAAACGACTGCCCCGGATATGCCCACCGTCCGAGGTGGAGAGGCCAGCCAAACTCCAACGGCTGTGCTGCAGAGCAGGGCGACCCCAGAGCCTCCAGAAACCAGCGGCTGCTGACGGGCCACAACAAAAGGGGCCAAAAACCCGTTTGACTACAATTGCTATTGATTGCATCCTCGGCGCAGACCACCCAACGTCATCTTTGGTTGAAACATATTAACAAGACAATCAATTTGATGAGTGCATCTTGGCTTCACTCATTTACCGTTGCGCAAGTACAAGCATAATCAATTAGATAAGGTGTGAGCATGCTAGATTGCAAAAGCGTGGCCGGCAAAAATGTGACTCAACCTTTTTGATATAGGGTTGCCGCAAGAATGGCTCCCCTATGGATGTGCGCGTTTGTGAGGTTTTGCTGCCATCACCATGGCGATGTTTGAATGCGCCCCATATGAATGGTGGTTATTTTTTTGCTTCATTCTGAGGCACCGTTGCTTTTGAATTCGCTGACCAATGTCGGCCGCCATATCGCATTGTCCTTCTATGTAACTTGTAGTACGTTGTGCACCTATTTCCCTGCCCTTTAAACTTTGGAAAATTGGAGGAAAGCAAACAATCGTGTAGAGCCAATCTATTGGTTAGTGAGGAACCTGCTTGGCCTTCGTACGCCAGGAGCTGAAAGGTTGGCAGTGCAAGCAACGGGCGACTTCATATCAGACAAGGCAAGGCCATCATCTCTGGCGGCAAGCATCAGCAAATATTCCCATTTCATCACTAGTAGATGATTCCGTCATTTCCCAAAACGTCCACCTGACAATATTTTCGGAGAAGTCGTTGGTCTAACTCAAGTTTTTTGCTCTTCTTCTTTCATGATCTTTCCTCCATGGAACGGTCTGCAATTGATGCAGCTGCCCTGCGTTTGTGCAAAACGTTCCTATGCGTCGTTGGCCACAATTGTGCTACTTTCGTAATGCGCCTTTGCCCCTCATGACTTTGTGGCGAAACGGGGCCATGACAGGTGGCGAGGTCGTGTACCCAAACAGCCAATTGAGGCCCAAACATGCACAGGTGGCTTGCAAGATCGTCAGGCATCGTGAGGCAACTTCGACGGCTGTGCGGTTGTCGTCGAAGTGTGTGTATATCGTTCACATGTGAATGGTGACACCTTGAACATGATGATGATGAAGCGGGGACATGGCGACTCTGCCAAAAACGTCAGGTGTGCTCATCCGTTGCTATTACCCCCCTCCGCCACCGCCGGCCTTCGCGAGAGCCTGTGGCTCCCACACGAGGCCCAGGCAGACCTGCCCCGCCCCAGTTGCCCATGGAGCCGACCTCTGTCCAGAAGTCGCGGGAGGCGCTGGACAGTGAGCGCCCGCGGGCCCCACGACGTCAGCCTCCCAGGCTAAAGGCGCGGCGCCCAATTCACTGGCCAGCTGATGCCGCCTGATGCAGTCGTTCATGATATCTCTCAGCTGCTGAACGCTGGACTGGACAGGTACGGGACGTACGGCTATCCACAGTAGCGCGGTGCGTAGGGTGCTCTTGCTGCACTGGTGTTCACTACGCCCGAGCACTGTGGGCCTTGAACAGGGCGCAAGGCTGTGCGGGACTCCCTGGAAAGGCCTGCGCTTCTGTGTGCGGTTCTAGGCTCGGCGAAGATGTGTCTCTTCCAGTTACTCAG